CAAAATCCAAGGATGTTTTGTAGAAATGGACATTATGATTCTAAAACTTATATGAAAATGCATGACACCCAGAATAACAAAATCAATTTTGAAGAGCAAATTTGGAAGACATATGCTACTAGATTTCAAAACATACTATACAGTTCCAGTATTCAGTAAAACACTGTACTGGCATACACATAGGTGATCAATGGAATAGAATTAAGAGTTCAGAAATAAACCCTTACATTTTTGGCCAATTGACTTTTAGAACTTCAATAGGAAAAGGGTCTTTACAACAAATCATACTGGGGCAATTGGATATCCCAATGACACACACATACACACACAAAAGAACTTTGGCTCTTACTACACATCATGCACAAAAACTAACAAATTAACTCAAAAATGGACTAGATAACCAAACTTAAGAACTAAACCCTTTAAAATTCTACAAGAAAACCTAGGGAAAAAATCTCTGTGACTTTGGTTTAGGCAAAGAGTTCTTAGATATGGCACCCAAACAAAGCATGATGAATGATGTGCTCAAGAAAAAAACTGATAAATTGAATTTCATCAAAATTAAAAATGTTCACACTTTAGAAGGCACCATAATAGAAATGAAAAGTCAAGCCACAGAATGGAAAGGTATTTACAAATCATATATTTAATAAAGGACTTATATCTAGAATATATAAAAAACCCTTTCATAAATATTAAAAAGACAAATAATCATAGTAGATAATGGGTAAAAGATTTAAATAGACATTTCATCAAAGAAGATTTACAAATGACTAATAACCACATGAAAATATGCCCAGTATCATTAATCATTAGAGAAATGAAACTTAAAATCACAATGAGATACCCTCACACTCACTAGAATGGCTGTAGTCAAAAAAACAGACATACTAATAAGTATTGAGGATGTGGAGAAATTGGAAGGAACCCTCACACATTGCTACTCTGGAAAAAATTTTGGCAAATCCTTTAAAAGTTCAACATAAACTTATTATATGATGCAGCAACTCCAATCCCAGGTATCTACCCAAGAGAAATGAAAACATATGTCCACACAAAGACTTACACACAAATGTTCATAGCAGCATTACTCATAATAACCAAAAAGTGGAAATAATGGTGTCCATCGATTGGTGAATAGATAAATTATTCCATTTATTATTCAGCAATACAAAAAATGAAGTACTGAACCTCAAAAGCATTATGCTAAATGAAAGAAGCTTGATTACATTTATATGAAATGTCAAAAAAAAAGAAAAGTTGATAGAGAAATTAAGCAGATTAATGGTTGCTAGGGAGTGGAGAAGTTGGCATTGACTGCAAACAGGCATGGGGGAACTTAATGGATTGGTATATATGTGATAAAACTAAATTATATTGATGTTTTCAAAAGTATAAATTTTCTAAAATCACTGAATTGTATACATACAATGGGTAAATTTTGTGCTATATTAATTATACCTCAATAAACTTGTGGCAAAAAGTAAATAACAAAGAAAATAGCTTGAAAAAGTTTGGCAAATTATTGATAATTTTTAAAGCTGGATGATAAGTTACAAGAGTTCATTATACTATTCCTTCTATTTTTGTAAATGTTTGAAATTTTTCATAGTATCCTTTTTCTAAAAAGAAATAAATCTTAGTAGTTTATGTGCTAACTTTGGATAATACATACCCAGAAAGAGCAAAACATAAAAACATAGAAAAGGGATTATTTGAAAAAATAATAGGAATATATTTCTTAGAATTAAAGAAAGGTATATCTCAGTTTGAAAGCATCAAAAATGAGACATAAATAACAACTCACACCTAAGCACATAATAGTGAATTCTAAGAATATTACATACAAGACAAAATTTTTTAAATTTCTAGAGACAAATTCTATTACATACAAATAAACAAGGATCAAATTAACAGAGTTTTTCATAGCAATTCTTCATATAAGGTGAAAAGGAGTAATATTTTTAAAGTATTGAAAGAGAAAAATTTGGGGCACATAATAGAATTTTACACCCATTTAAAGAGAATGCAAGGTTTCCAAACCTTGCTGCACAAAGACCCATTTTGAAAACATTTTTGAGTGAAATACTTAAGAGGAGAAAGAAATCCAGGAAGTGTTACAAGGGATATAAAAAGTAAAGATGATTATATAAGTTGGTAAGTTGTTATCTTAATAAATATAAATCTAAGATCAAAGAAATGAAAATGAGAGGTTATATACAATAATCCAGACTTTAAATACTATTAAAAATCATACTCGATATGTTCTCTGACCTCAACACATTATGTTAGACATTAATAACAAAAATATAAGTTAAAAATACTCACAAATTCGCAAAGTAAAACACACTGTTAAATAATTATTGGTTTAAAGCATAAATCATAATGAATGAATGTATAAAAAACCAAGAACAACATGAAAATAAAAATAATACAAAAACCTTATAGGATGCAGCAAAAAGTCTTACTTCTAGGGAAATTTTATAGCTTTAAATATTTATATACGACAAAAAAAGGGCTGAAAACTATTCATTATGAATTTAAATTTTTAGTTCTGAGAATAACATACTAAACTTGAAGTTAAAAGATACAATTAAGAACAGAAATCAGGCCGGGCGCTGTGGCTCACGCCTGTAATCCTAGCTCTTGGGAGGCCGAGGCGGGCGGATTGCTCAAGGTCAGGAGTTCAAAACCAGCCTGAGCAAGAGCGAGACCCCGTCTCTACTATAAACAGAAAGAAATTAATTGGCCAACTGATATATATATATATATAAAAAATTAGCCGGGCATAGTGGCACATGCCTGTAGTCCCAGCTACTCGGGAGGCTGAGGCAGAAGGATCACTGGAGCCCAGGAGTTTGAGGTTGCTGTGAGCTAGGCTGACGCCACGGCAAAAAAAAAAAAAAAAAAAAAAGAACAGAAATCAACTACAAAACAAAGATACAATAGAGAACAAAACAAACGTGTTTCAAAGAAAAACTAACAAAATGAATAATCTTTGAGAAGATTGAAGAAGGAAAAAGAGAGGGCAAAAATAAATAATATTATGAATAAAAAATGGAACATAAACACAGATAAAATAGATTTAAAAGCTAATACCAACAATTATATGCCAAAAACTTTGAAAACTGAGATGAAATGAACAAATTTCTAGAAAACTATAATTAGACAAATCTGATTCAAGAAGAAATTTTTTAAAATCTGAAATTTTTTGACATAATTAATAAAATTGAAATAGTAGTTTATGATCTTTTCACAAAGAAAAATTGAGACTTTACTGGCAAGTTCTATGAAACTTTCATGGACATTATTATCCTAAATATTGTACAAACGTTTTTATTGTGGTAAAATATATGTAACACAAAATTTACCCTTTTACCTATTTTTAAGTATACAGTTCTGTGGCATAAATTATATTCATATTGTTGTATAACCATCACCATCATCCATCCCCAGAACTTTTTTCAACTTCCCCAACTGAAAATAAACCAATTAAACACTAACTTATTATCTTTTGTTTTTTGATAATAGCCATTCTAACAGATGTGAGTGATATCTCATTATGATTTTAATTTGCATTTCCCTTATGATTAGTGATGTTAAGCATTTTGCATATGCTTATTGGCCATTTATATGTCTTCTTCTGAGAAATATCTATTCAGATCCTTTGTCCATTTTTGATCAGGTTATTTGGGGTTTTTTTGCTATTAAAAGCAAAAGCTCAGAACTATATATAATCCTGATTTGTAAAACAATAGTTAAAAGATATTCTCGTGAATGTCTACTCGGATTCGTGTGTGGATGTTTTTATATGATTTTTCACATAAACAAGGAGAAAAACATGGAATTAATATGTGCAGCAGATGGTAAATATTAGTTTCACCTGGGGTGAAAGGAAGGGGAGAGGAGAAGCAAAAAAATTGTCCATAATGAAAAAAACAGTATGCATGATATAACTCATTTATGTATATAAATGTATTTGTGTGTGTGTGTGTGTGTATATACAATATATATACCGCTAAAAATATTGAAATTTGATCATTAGTATATTAATTGAAGATCTAAGTTTTTAATTTATATTTATCCATATTGTTTGAAATCTTTTACCATAAAAATATATCATTTAAATAACTGCAAATAAAAAGACATTTGATCACAAAGGAGAAAAAGAAGTAGGAGAAGAAAAATAGAATCTGAAATTTTGGATGAGAGTCTAGAGTCTAGTTTATGCTATTGGAGAGATTTTTGAGATATATTTTGCCATCTTGGCAGTATATATGTGTGTGTGTTTACAAACGAAAAAATTTTAAAAAATAATTTAAAATAAGTACATTGCCCAACATGAAATCACCTTAGAGATTAGGGAGGTAGGAATTGAACCTAGGTCTGTATGATTCCAAATTTCATGTTCTTTCCATATAGCAAGCACTGTTAGAAAAGAGACCTCACTCTCCACCCACTCCCAAACCCTGCTCACTCCTCTGAAGGTGTAATTAAGATTGAATGGAGGGGAAGATGAATTAATACCTTTTGCAACAATCTGGATGGAACTGGAGACCATTCTCCTAAGTGAAGTATCTCAAGAATGGAAAAACAAACAACACATGTACCTCACTATTAAATTGGAACTAACCGATGAGCACACGTGTGCACAGAGGGAAATAAAATTCAGTGGAAAGCACCAGGAAAGAGTAGGGAGGAAGGGAGGGGAAAAACCCAACCTAATGGGTACTATGAACATGATTGGGGTGACAGGCACACCTATAGCCAGGACTCAAGCATTACAAAAAACAATCCACATAACCTAAAACATTTGTACCCCCTTAATATTTTGAAATAAAAAGATTGACTGGGGGAAAAGAGAAAAACCTAGGAATGGAGTAATTTATTGATATTTTTCTCTGATTCTCAGATAGTTATGAAAGAAAGTGGTTTTTCAGTTGAAAAGACTTTCTAGGAAAAAAATAAACCAAACCATTGATTTTTCCCCACTTTCTTAGGACTCCTTGGAAGAGGCTGAAAAAGGTGTTGATCCCTTAGTGTCCTCCCGGTTTTCTGCAAACACCTACAGTCTGGCAAGCGGCTTGTCAACCGTAAGCAGTTCTCTAGCATGGGCAGAAAATTCCTTCTCTCTCTGTTTTTTTGGTTTTTGTTTTGTTTTTGTTTTGGGGTTTTTTTTTAATCATTCTTCTGTTCTCTCTCTGTCATTGATTCTGTGCATTTCCAAAAGAGATATGAATGTTCTTGGGAAAATGTGTGATCATGAATTAAAAGTTATTGTAGGCTCTTGCTTGCCCTTTGCCCATAGAGTACTTTTCAGTCTAATTTTGTATGGGCTTTTTCTAAGACTTCTGATTCATTCCTTCTTTCTCCTTCCACAGTCCTGACCCAGATTTTAAAGTCTCCTCACTCCCTAGTTCAGGCTCGATCAGCTCAAGCCTGCAAATTATTTCATTTTTCTGCTCACAAACTTCCCTAACGCCATTCTCTAAAGTTTCCAACCATCCTCCACACTACTGTTGGTCATTTTCCTAAAACATATACACAGTCTGGTATCTATCCCACTCAAAAACCATTCATAGCTTCCCACTGCCTACAAAATAAAGCCTTTTCTTACTGTAGTGTTCAAGGCCTTTCTTGAGAGGCTTTAGGACCCCCGTGTCCTTATGTCTATCTATATGTCTGTAAGTCTTTTTCTTGGTTTCTCTGATTTCTGTTGCTCTAACACTCTTTTTCTTTTGATCTTTGGATAACTTCTTTAAAGAATTCTCAAGCAGGCTCTGACAGGAAGTGGACCTACCTAAATGTGCCTGATGCTGACTCAGATACTGTGAGTTTTCAACCTTTTCTTTTCCTTCTTACCAACCATACTTTATAAATTTCATGGTCTGGGAAACATCATTAGGTGGGCAATTCTCCTCACATTTATCTTTTTCTGACTTGGGTACTATTAACCAGAGGTTCCCTTTTAAAAGAGGTTATCAAAGCATGGTCCATGGGCCAGGAACATTCCATCACCTGGAACAGAAACTCCAAAACTACCTCAGTTCATAAAGCCCCTAGTGTCTCAGTAATTCTTTCATGCCACTTCTAGGCCAAAAGTACCACCTGACCATGTTTTGAGTACCAAAGGCTTTAAGAATAGATCCAAAGAATTTAATAAGCACTTATATGCTAACAACTTAGTAGCCATTTGAAAAAATAATATGGGTACATTAAAAGAAAAATAATACTTTTATTTCATTTGTAAATAGCCCTAATTACTTACTAATAGGATATGTGTGCCTACTGAGCAACACTACACAGTTTCTTAAATCTTACAATCTGATTGGACATAATGAATTTCATTTCCCATTTCATGTTGATTTTTATGCAATATTTGCTTTTCCTTGCAGTAACTGCCAAAAACTCATCTTCACACAAATAGGAGTTTATTGAAAGGAATGAAGTGTGATTTAATGTTAACATTGTCAACTACTAGTTAATAGTTTAGATGGTGTTTTGTAGATATCGTTGTGTTTCCCTCAAAAATCTTAAATATTCTATGGTACCCCTGTGAGTTTTCTGTGGTGTTCTGGACTACCTCAACACACAGTTTGGGAACTGCAGACCTAGGAATGTTTTAGAAAAGCAGAAGCTCATACCCCACACCAGGCTGAAGAGATCAGAATCTTCATTTTAAAAAGATTCCCAGGTGATATATGTGCAATTAAAGTTTGAAAAGTATCGCTCAAAGCCACTTTCTAAACATGAAAATTCTATTGCTTTGTTTTAGGAATAAGAAAGACAAATTAGGTCACCCACGGGCTCTTTTTAAGCTGTAGTTTTCAAATAATTATGGAATTCTTGGTTTGCTCTTGCCTTTGACTTAAGCTTAGAAGAGATACGAGCCACATCACCACATCCTATTCTCTGGCCAATCTCAACCGTAAGCAATTAGAGGAGCATAATGACTTTTGCAAAAAAAAAAAAAAAGAAAAAGAAAAAAGAAAAAGAAAAGAAAAGAAAAGAAAAAGAAAAAGTGGAAAATCTGAGCTGTCTCTGTGTCTTTGCACTCACCATAGTCTTTTCTTCCCAGTGGTTCATAGAAGAGGGGTTTTGAAACTACTAGGTCATTCATGAAACCTTCCAGGTAGTCTTTTGTAACAGTTACTAAGACATAGAGTTTTTGCTTCAAGTGCTAAAGGATAATTTTATTACATTTACAGTAGTCACTCTTATTCACAGGGGATATGTTCCAAGACCCCCAGTGGATGCCTGAAAGCATGTATAGTACTGAACCCTAGCCCAGGAACTTCAAGGTCATCTTTTCACTTACAGGAAGCACTTTTTGGCTTCTCTTTGATATATCTGAATTGCCAGCATCACTACTCCTGAGTTTTAGAGCCATTATTAAGTAAAATAAGGGTGACTTGAACATAAGCACTGCAGTAGTAGTAGCGCAGTCGATCTGATAACCAAGACAGCTAAGTAACGGATGGGCAGCATCTACAACATAGATCCGCTGGACAAAGGGATGATTCATATCCTAGGCAGGATGAAGCAGGACAGTGCAAGATTTTGTCATGCTACTCAAAAGAGCCTGCAATTTAAAACTTATGAATTATTTATTTATAGAATTTTCAATTTAATATTTTTGGACTTTTGTTGACTGCAGGTAAGCAAAACCACAGAAAGTGAGACTGTGGATAAGAGGGACTATTATAATTTAAAATATGTCTCATGTCATTAGTGTCTTGTCAAAAGCCTTAATCATTTTGGTAGATTTGGACTGGTATTTTTTAAATCATTTTACTGATTTGTTGGTATGTGACTGTATTGTTCAGTGTTATATTTTGTGGGCTGCAATTTGACAGAGATTTACAAAGCCTTGGTCTTAACTATTCATGTGGCCACACAGCTACTCATTTGAGGGGAAATCATGGTAGCTGTGTATCTATGATGTTCTGGTATGCTTTTTTTAAAGCTGCAGCCGTGGCTTCCCAGAGACTGATAGGATGTTCTCTGTGGATGCATGAGGCTCCTGCTAGCACGGAACATGAGATAAGCTATTCTTTGTTCCGATCAATGTATTCTAGACCTTAAAGTATATTGAACTTGTTTCTACCAGTGAAAAAGGAGAAAGCTGTAGGGATGGAGGAGAAGTGGAATTGGAAATGCCCCAATGACCCTGTATTCATTAGAAGTAAATAAACAAAGGGTATTCACTAACCCAAAATGGCAATACTTCCCCTCTCAGCAAATTTCCTACCTTCCTTATTAATGATACTGGATCTGTTGTCTTTTCACAGGCTGAGATTTTGTACAATACAAACAAAACAAGTGGCTTTTGCCTTCTTTCCTCACTCTAATTTCCCTGCTTCTTATAAAGAATAGGAACTGTAATTGAATAAAGGGGGTTGATTCTGTGAAGAGATCATTAGAATAACACTGGATGCCTTTTTTCATCTTGTTTATTTATTCCAGACAAGCCTTAACAGTATGATGAGTGTTTACAGTGAAACAGGAGACTATGGCAACGTGAAGGTCAGTGGTGAAATCCTTCTCCATATCAGCTACTGCTACAAAACTGGAGGGCTCTACATTTTTGTCAAGAATTGCAGGAATCTGGCCATAGGAGATGAAAAGAAACAGAGGACAGATGCGTAAGCACATAGCATGTTCCTCAGACTATTTCAATCACTGCCTTCTTTGTCTGTATGTGTGTTTCTTTTTCAGAAAAATCTTAGGATTCCTCTTGATTCAGAGCCTTCTCAGAGAGTTGATTGTGACTTCACTTTCCTCCTATACCACACTTCTAAATATTCTATAAAGTACATGTACAATTGTTGTGTTCTTGGTTACCTGATTGTTATGAGGCCCTTACTCAACATGATTCAGGACTGACATTGTTGTAGTTTGCACAGAGGTAGCTTTTTGAGGTGGAAGGCTGACATGTTGGCACACCCAGGATGTACAAAAGTATCCTGTTGATTTTTGTTCTGGGAAATCCTCCAGAGAAAATTACCAAGCTGTCACCCAATCAAACAACTCAAAAGGTCAATTGTGAGGCTCTCAGGATTCTAAGGATCAGCGTAGGAGGGCAGGTGTGGACCATGGTATATTGGAGAAAAGCTAGATATAAAGATGTATCAGGGGTCCCCAAGACCACTGCCAGATTCAGTGATTCACTAGGAGGTTTCACAGGACTCTACATGTAGTTGTAATCAGCAAAGGGAAAAGGTATGTGGAACAAAGTGCTGAGGACACTAGGTTCAAGCTTCCAAGGGTTCTCTCCCGGCGGAGTCACCTAGGATACATTTAATTCCCCCAGCATTGAGTCATGACAATACTTGTTAACTGCTGTCTACCAGGGAAGCTTGTTAGAGACTTTGCTCATCATATACCAAATTTCCAGTCTCCCAGAAAGAAATCTGTTCATAATAAGCCATACTGTTTGTACAAACAGTTTAGGCACAGTGAGCCACTTTTATCAGTTCTGGGAATGGTAGGAACCTTCCCAAAATACAAGTTCCCAGGCACCACCCAGAGGCCAACCTTGGAAACAGGCATTTAGAAGGATAGCAGTCTCAGTCCTGCCATGTTCACTCTTTTCTGTACAATAGATGACCTAGGTGCAATAAATAACTCAGTTAAGCTTGATCCTGAGATAGACAAATGGATAGATTCTGACTACAGATTGGTTCACCTCCCTCCTTAACTAAGTTTCAGAGGGCTACATGACCAATATAATTATTTTGACTAGCATAGAATAATGTCATCTAAAACTCCAGCAGATATGGTTTAGAACTCTGGTAGCATCTTGTACATTTCAATCATATACGTCTTATACATTTCTGAGCCTACTGTGACGCCCCTACTCTGAGAGGCTCCTGAGATAGTTCAAGGTAAGGTGTTGGGTAGAATTGCTATCTTGACTTCATGTTATTTTCTCTTTATTCTTTTTCACTATTTTCTTTTAGTGAAAGAAACTTATCACCTATTACTATTGACCCTACTCCCTGACATCAGAAAGCAGGTCTAGGAATGGAGAGATATGTAACCCCAGAGAAGTTCTTTAAACCATTGCTAATAATAATAGATTACATTTATTGAGTAGCATTAATACAAGATGGCAGCTCTTTATATATGTCACTAATTTAATCCTCACATGCCATGAGTTAGATACTGTTATTATCCCAGTTTTACAGATAAGGAAACTGAGACACAGGGAGGTTAAGTAAATTCTTGAAGTCACCAAAACCTATGAGGAATGGATTGACTCAAAAACAGTTGGCTTGACTCCAGAGCATACACTCTTTTACCACTGCATTTTACTGCTTCTTTCTAATGGAAGGCCCAGAGTTATATTTTAAACTATCATATTATATAGATCACATTCTCTTTGGTCCTATCTCTTATGATCATAGGCCCTTTGCCTCTTTTATTCATTTAAGTACCAGAGCATTTCTTGCAAATAGTTGTTCCCCAATAATTACTTTTATATTTTATTATCTACAGTTATGTCAAGTCATACCTTCTTCCTGACAAGTCCCGAAACAATAAGCGCAAGACCAAAATCAGAACAGGCACCAATCCAGAATTTAATGAAACACTAAAGGTAAATAAATACTCTCTCACAGTAACTCATGTGATACTGTTCACAACTTCATTGGTTTAGAAGTAACTACAGAGAATCTTTTATTTACATTTCAAGGCTTGTATATGTTTTAGAAAATTGGAATTTGAATAAATTATTATAATATGCTTGGCTTTCCTAACATCTTTTGGGAAAAAATAATGTAAACCACTCTTACTCTATTAACTTCTCTGCTGCTGCTGCTGAATTTGTACCTTAAGTAGAGAGGATCCAGAAAAATTACTTCTCAGCTGATGCAGCTTGTCAAAAAGTGTGTTTTACCCTGGGGCAAACTGTGCTTTTTCTGACCCCCTTAAAAGAAGTTTGTCACAGTTTTGACAACAACTTAATGAGTTGCTTTGCACACATTCATTGTTCTGCTAACACAGCATGGATATGTGCTGTTTCTTGTTAGGGTTTCAGAATTTGGCTAAATTTAGGTGTGTGGTTAATGAACTGTGGAGATGCAGGGTCAGATTTGAGAAATCTCAGAGAATGGCCTAGATAAAAATATGACCTATTCTTACAGAAATGTTTATTTCCAGTGAGCTTCCACATAACAACCCTTTCTCTCACCCTGGACCAATCTGGCCTGGTAAGAAAGATCCAGGGAGAACGGAATATGGAAGTATTATGAATCCTAGGGAAATTTTTGAGTTTAATGCCCCAGGGTGATAGAGTCAGATCCACTATAGGAGGAAGTTGGGAAGGACAGAAAGCCATGTGCCTACATGTGTCAGTGGGGGCATGTATGAAAGCAGAACCAATATTAAGACAGATAAACTGAAAATGAATAAATATAGGCAGAGCGCAAATTCAATCACCATAACAGGCTAGCAAAGATGAGCCTAAGCACAGGTAAGCACAGTGAGAGGGTAAATTCAGGAAGCAGGGAGCCAAGGTTAATCATGATAGTAACAGCAAGGACAGGAATAGACACAAATCCAGGATTAGGAATCAGTCAGTCTGAAGTGTGTCCCAGATGGTGGTTGCACAGAACAAGCAGAAGGTTGGAGGGTGTTTGGGCATGTAGCCCTGGATAATGTTCTGTTCAAAAAAGAAAAGCAAGCCCAGCAATATCTTCTTTCTGCTCAGTCTACCGGTACATCTTTTCACCTCTGCACTTAGGCCAGGCTTTATGAAATTTTGTGTTTGCAAATTTCTCATTGCCAATACTTTTGTGGATTTGAGGGTTCTCATTATGAAAATAAGACAGAGAAGTTGGAGATTTAAATCCTGAGCTTATAAAGTAGATATGAAAAAAATAATTAGGCAAATGAAAAACAGGTAAAACTGGAAAGAGGATAAGCTTTGTTACCTAACACTGTTTTATACAGTATCTGGAGTTTATCTACCCTCAAATAATGTGTTTATATATCTTTCAGTGCTAGGTCTGGTACAAAATGTGTTTATGGAATAGAACCTCAGTTGTAGCAAAAACAAAGAAAAAGAAAGTCTTTTCTTTATGTTTGTTTTGTTCATATTACTGATGCATATGATCTGAAAGATGTTGGAATGGTTGGATTTCAACCTGTCCTGGAATTGGATAAAGCCCTTCTTGTGGAGTGTGATGTTGTAAATCTCATTTGTAGTATACCATCAGCCATACCCAGCTGGAAACAAGAACTCTGCAACTCTCGGTCTGGCACTATGATCGATTTGGACGTAACAGCTTCCTTGGGGAGGTAGAGATTCCTTTTGACTCATGGAACTTTGATAATCCAAGTGACGAGTGGTTTGTGCTTCAGCCCAAGGTAGGAAATGCTTCCTGATTAGTCAGTTATGCAATCAGACAAGTTATGAGTGACATTGATGTCACAGGCCTAAAGAATCTGAAGACTGCCAAATCTCAAGTGATAATCTACAAAGATTAGTGCAGCACATTTTGGAATAATATTGTAAATTCATTGTTTTGGAAATTGTCAATATAGATTGTATGATGCAAGCCATATAATCATATATATCATTAATTTTTCTTACCAAAAATTTATTAATCATTTGAAGGTCTCCATGGATAACCAAAAGAAACACATTATATGATCCTATTAGAAGGAGAAAACCTTGATTTTCATATAGGCAAAACTAAATCCATAGGACATGACCAAATCAAAACATTATTTCTCATTCTCCACAGTTCAGACCACAAGCAGGAGTGGACTTGCCCTGACTCATGAGGGAGTTAGTTACCTGTAGCTAAAGGATCTGGTTTTTTACATTCCTAGTTTTGGGATTCATAACCTGGGTCTTAAATTATAATATATTCAGTAAAACAATCTTAGAGCTGGCTCTAGAAATTAAATGTTAATATTATGTAGCATTTTCTAATCTAAACCAATAGTGCCTTAGATTCACTCTAAGCAACTGGAGTCTCTCTACATTTACAATAACTTTTTAAGTCAAAAGGGAGGTAAAAAATGGTCACATTTGTGCAACCAAAGATTGTTCTTTATATTTAGAGAGGCAAAAGAATATTATGGTAAAGATGGTAGACTCAAATCACACTTACTTGGTTCAATCCTGGCTCCATGACTGCCTACATGACCTTGGGCAAATTACTTAACTTCCTAGGCATTGATATTCTCATTTGTAATATAATCATTGGATATAGCTTTTAGGGCTGCTGTGAGGCTTAAGTAAGCATTTTATGTGAGGCTGTCAGCATTCTATCAGGAATATTGTAGGCTCTCAATAAATGTTAGGTAGTAGACATCTTACTTAGGAGCCATTGTATTTCAATTAACAGAAAGCCCAGCTCATAGTGCTCAAAAAATAAGGGGAGATTATTGGCAAGTGGTGATCAGGCAGGGCTTGATCCAGATGGTCAAATCTTATCAAGTCCTTGGAGTCTCTTGATCCCTCTTCTCCTCTTTGTTGGCTTCATTGTCAAGATCCATGCAGTGTTAACCTCCCTCACTAGCTCCAGGCATGCCTCTCCTGGGCACTACTGGCTACAGTGGCTGCAAGCCTCTCATCCTTACACCACACTGTCCAGGAGACAAGAGAGTTCCTCCTCCTCCAACAGTCAAACCAGTGCTTTGGGTCTGGTTTTCCTAATTCTAATTATATCACTGAATATCTTGAGTTAATGACTATAGCCAAGGTGGTGAACTACATTAGCTGGCTTAAGATAATTAGAAAGTGCCCTGGTCCTCAAGGTAGATTTCCCCAAAGGAAATCAGGATACTAAAGGAATGGTGAGGGATACTAGACAGCAAAAACAAATGATGCCCTCCATATCATCAACAACAGCATTGTTCTCATTTAGTGCTTATAACAACCCTATGAGGTAAGTGTCATTATTCCCATTTTATAGATGAAGAAACTGAGACTCAGAAGTTAAATACAACTTGCTGGTGGGATTTTATAACTATTGACCTGAAACTTGGTGTAAACAACTCATGGAAAATCTTTAGGAGGTGTATTTAGAATATTGGTAAAATTTTACCTAATATTTAGGCTATTAGGTAAAATTGATAATAAAATATAATAAAAAATCCTTAAGCATAAAATAACCATAAGCTCATGCTCAACATAAATGTGATGGAGATGGGAAGTACAGTATTAACAACGAATGTGTCCACAACACCATATTATTCCCCTGACATTAAATATAAAAAATATTTGGCCATTACAGCATCAAGCCTCTTGGAATTGAATGAAATGCCTGACTATAAAAGATGGCACTTAATATGACTTTGCAGTCTCCTGTCAGTCACTTCCTTTTGTGTGCTATGAACAAATATCTTATTTAGAAAATGTCTAAGACATCATATGATGCATGACACAGATGATAGACAAGTACCATACATCTTAGCACATAAAATTAATTTATCTGTCATGAAGTTAACATTAAAGCACATAGAGGCTCTTTGGAAACCAGTTTAAAAGGAAAAACAGCACCCTTCCAGTCAGCTTCCTGCAAATGGTTGAAAGACTTTGCTGGAATGATATCTAGGCTCTCCCAGACCTCTCCCAGGCATCCTTTGTGCTTAGGGACCAACAATTTTCCACAGTAATTATCTCCACATTACCATTGTGTAGTTCACTTTCTACCATGAGCAGGAAGCAGCTCTGGGTCTCTCTGAGCTTATTGAATGTAGAAAAGTTCTGATTGTGTTCACTGTCTGTGGAATACCATCAGTCCTCTGCCAGATCCCCTCAGACTCCTAGCCACGTCTGTTAGGAGATTTTCCAACAACAGCCTTCACCTTAGACGCTCTTTAGAAGCCTGCCTTCAGGTTACTGTAGCTTTTTGTTCACATGAGCAGAGAGCCAGAAGTCCTGGAAGTTTTTGTACTCTCTGCCACAAGGTAACCCTTACTCAATAACTGATAGGTAAGGGAGTATGAAGGCCCACTTCCCTTACTGAGAGTGAGAAAAACTCAGAGGTGTTCGTTATACTCCAGAGCGCCCCTGCCAGATCAGGCTGAATTGATGGAACTTTGCCCAAGATTGCAGCATCCTTTCCCTGCATTCTCCACCCCTTCACTGGTCTCTCTGGGGAGCACTTCCTTAGTCAATAAGGAAGTGCTTATTTGCATAAGAATCCTCACCTTAGAGTCTGCTTCTGGGAAACCCAACAGAAGTTAGAGTCTCTAATTCACATCATCTTCCTCTGCTAACCTTCCTCTGACACATGGAGGAAAGGCAGAAGCCTCAGACTTGCTTAGATAATATGTCTTCCCCAAATGGGAAGGTCTGGTACAAAGGCATGCTCTCTATGCTGCCTCATGCTTCATTCATGGCTCATCCTCAGCCTGAGCTGGGCTCTGTGTGGTTCACTATTAGCTAGCTATGTGAAGTGTCACTTCATTCTCAGTCTCTTGTCTTAGTTGTTTCAATGCAATAGGCACTCCATCAGCTGCAGATGTAGTACAGGCAGCCCTGAGATTTGATGTTTCTTGTAGATTATTCAGCTGAGGAGATGAAGTGTGAGCTACAGGTACTCATTTCCCTAGTAATAGGAGATCAGAATTAATAGTCCTTAAGCATTCAGAAATACTGACATCGTTTTGCAGTAGGAGTGCTGGAAAGACATAATGCCTTATTGCTTATTGACTCTGTGTTAGTGAAAGTCTCTCAATACCTACCTTTGTATGGGTTAGATCTTACAGCACTAAACAAGTGAGAAGGCTGGTACAGACAGAGAAAGAACTCAAGATGCCAAACATACCATAAAGTACTTTCACAGTATAACTTCCATTTTACTGCATGACACGGGATTATTTACTTGCTATAACTCATTATCCTTCTGAAAGACATGTTAGGTAGTTAGAGAAGTGTTTGTCAGTATGAATTGCTTTTCATGCTTTCCCAGAATGTCCTATTATAAAAACGAGGACTTCTGAAAATCAACAGCAAGCTTAAGTGGTTTTTCAAGGAAACATTCTTTTATTGTTCCTTCAGGCAGAGAGAAAATGTAAGTTCCTGTGGAATTATTACCTAGATTAAAGACTGTGTCTTTATTTAACAATTTTGGTAGACTGTTATATGTAATTTCTTACTCCGCCTTACACCTATAAATGTACTGGAGGTTTCTTTCTTACTCTGATGGAAAGTGGCTCTCTTTTTTCAGAAAGCAGAAGAAGGGGGAGTCATCTTGCTTATTTCACACTCTTGCTCAGATAGTCTTAATAGTTCCCTACTGCTTTTTGGATATGATTTGAATATATGCTAACCCTTACCTGGCACTCAGTTCTCCCTTAATATGGCCCAGCCCTCTGCAGCAGCTGAGGATGTCAGTGCTCTATCCATGCAAATGTGGCTCCCCATGCCTTTCACTCTCACCAGTCAACCCCTGCCAATCATTGTAGGAGGGGATCCCTCAGGCTGCTGGAGTGGGCTTGGTCTGTGGGAGTGAAAAGCCAGAGTGTTCTGGGTATTTAAGTCTCTTAGAGGTGGGCAGAGCCCTTGATCAATGACTGCCTATGTGAAGAAGTATAAACACCCCCACTCCCTTGCCTCATTGGAACAGCTCTGAAGTGTGATCTGTCATATCTCCAGAGTTCCTCTATGAGACTGAACAAAAGTTACACTCCATGGAACTTCACCTGATATCATGCCCTTAAGCCTCCTTCACTGTCAGTCCCACTTCCCCACTATCCTTCCTAATAAAATGCTATAAATTCAATTCATGCCTTAGGGTCTTCTAAGGGAACCCAGAGTAGACACCTTACTTATATCCTCCTTGCTACTGCCTTGCTATACACACTCCCCTAATCACATTTGACTTTCTGCCAATCCATAAACACATTCAACACAGTCCCCACCATATTTTGCTCCTACAGCATTTTGAACTCATAGTAACCTTCTTCCCAACCCATCTTCATCTGTCATCATCTCTCCCATCCATTAGTGACCAGGCAAGGGCCACCTCCTTATACCAATTTGGATTAATATTCCTCTTCCCACAGTAGTTTCTTTGTACTTGTATTGGAGCAACTGTCACCATTTGTGTGACATTGAACTTTCTGTACAGTAGAAACTCTCTTCTCCCAGCAATCATCACCAATAGTAGGTCAGTTAAGATAGAAAGTCACAGAAATCACCTATATACAAACACATTCACCCAATGCATTTCTTTTTATTTTTAATGTTTTTCATCATTTTGAATTGGCACATAAAAATTGTATTAATACATGTTTTACACATAAAACACATTATTTTTAAATATGTATACATTGTAGAATAGCAAAATCAATCTAACATATGCATTACTTCAAATATTGATTTTTGTGGTGAGAACACTCAAAATCTATTCTCAGCAATTTTCAAGAATACAATACATTGTTATTAATATTAACTATAGTCACCATGTTGTATAGTAGATATCTCAGACTTATTCCTCCTGTATAACTGAAATTTTGTATAGTTTGACCAACATCTTCCCAACCCCGATCCCACCCATGCCTCTGATAGCCACCAGTCTACTCCTCACTTCTACTAGTTACAGTTTCATGGCTTACATTTAAGTCTTTAATCCATTTTGAGTTGATTTTTATATGTAGTGTGGGATAAAGGTCCAGTTTTATTCTTCTGTTTGTAGACAGCCTGTCTTCCCAACACTATTTATTGAAGAGACTGTCCTTTCACCATTGTGTGTTATTGGCATCTTTGTTAAAAATAAACTGGCCATAAATGTGTGGCTTTATTTCTGGGCTTTCTATTCTGTTTCATTGGTTTATGTGCCTTTTGTCATGCCAGTAACATGCTGTTTTAATTACTATAACCTCCCAGTGTATCCCTTAAAGATTTTAACTTAAAACAAATAAATGTACATTCATTTGTAAGTCTTCTGATATAGAGACAATTAATTTTGTTTGAATATTGGTTCAATGATTAAAATTCTGCCACATATTCTTGGCATAAATTCTAGCCCTGATGCATCATCAATAGTCTCTATTTTGAAATTTTCTAAAGTGAAACAAGAATATAAGAATACTTTCAAAATAAACCAAATGGGCCAGGTGTAGTGGTTCATGCCTATAATCCTAGCACTCTGGGAGGCTGAGGCGGGAGGATTGCTTGAACTCAGGAGTTCAAGACAAGCCTGAGCAAGACCCTGCCTCTACTAAAAATAGAAAAAACAGTAGCCAAGCAATCAAAAATAGAAAAATTTGGCCAGGTGAGGTGGTATGTGCTTGTAGTCCCAGCTACTTGGGAGGCTGAGGCAGGAGGATCACTTCAGCCCAGGAGTTTGAGGTTGCTGTGAGCAAGGCTGATGCCATGGTACTCTAGCCTGGGCAACAGAGCGACTCTGTCAAAAAAAAAATGCAAAATATTTTTAAATATTCATATTTTTTTCTAATATTTTATACCTTTAAGCTCACATATAATCCAATAGCAACTTTGTTTTCAAATCTTTAATTCTTCTAAAGTATTCAGTTTAATTTTTATAATAACAACTGTCTTTTTGCACTCATTGCACTCATCAATTTGTGTAATATTAAATTATATAATCATAATCACAGTTATGTCTGGCATAAAGAGCTTGGAGAACTAATGCAGCTGACTTTTGGTGAGATTACAATTCAACTGATGGAAGCAGACACACGTGGTCTTTGTAGAGAGGATCCTACTATTCATTGGAGATGGAGAGCATTAATTAATCTGATGAGTCCATTAAATAAGGGTGGATTAATAGAGCTTTTACTGCAAATATGTCTCCTAGATAGACTGAAAACTCATTGAAAGCAGAGTCTGTGTCTATGTGTCCCCACAGCACTTAGCAAAGTACATGATAAAAAAAATAAGCACTCCATATATGCTGGTAGAGTTAAATTGAATTGAATTGAATTGAATTCCACTACCTTTTTCTGAGCAGGAGTTGATTGGATAATGAAAAGGTGGTATACCAGGAGAGTGTGTTGCCTTGGATTTTTTTTGTAAAAGTACCCAAAATACCCCCAAACATTAGTTATATGCAGGCTACAAGATGACTCCCCCATTTAAATTTCTTTTCTATGTGATTATAATGCTACAAGGCTTCGTCTTTATTGTGTTCTACTTTCATAAGGCTTTAAGTCTATATTTATACAAAGTCACCAATATATTTTAATTTAAGCCAAAAACCAATGGAACATTAATAAATTCCCACAATGTATACTATATATTAGTATGTGACACTGGCATATATCGCTTTTTCCTACCAACATATTATCTTACCCAGAGATCTCACCCAAAAGCAAATAGACCCTGCTTTGGCTAACTATTACTGTATAGCAAAGTACCCTAAACCTTAGGGGCCTAAAACAACAATTTATTATTGTCTTTCGTGATTCTGTGGGTTTACTGGACTCATTTGGATAGCTCTCACTTGAGGTCTCTCATGCAGTTGCAACCAGACTGAGTCTGACATCATCTGAAGGCTCAACTAGGCTGATTGTTCTAGTTGGCTCACTCCCATGGCTCATACATGATGTTGGCTGCTGGCTGGCCAACTCAGCTAGACCTGCCAACCAGAGCACATACCTGTGGCTTCTCTCTGTGGCTTGAATCTCACAGCATAGGTTCTTAGAGGGACATCAGGAATGTCCATTCCAAGAAAGAAAGTAGAAGTTGTCAATCTTGAGGCCTATACCCCCAAAGTTGCACATTCTTATTCCTGCCATATTCTCCTAGTCAAAGCAATCACAGAGCCCACTCAGACTCAAAGACAAGGGACAAATACACAGCTCTTATTGACGATAGTATCAAAAAAGTAGTAACCATCTTGAATATATAATACCATAATATTCATTATAATTTTTGATTGATGACATTCATATAAACTAAAATTTACTGAAATTGTCACAAAAAAAAGAAAAGCCCTTTTATAAGTAACTTGATCTAAAATAATCAGATTAAATATTAGATAGATAGTCTATTTCACCATATCACCAATCTCATTTTTGCCCTGGTAAGAAGGCTGAATAAAATATTTTAACTGTTTTTCCCACTCTTACTAATAAATTTTACTACCAACAACAGAAATGAAAATGAATGAATGTCAGGCAAGGATTCCTTTTCTTTGTAATAGTCTCAGTTTATTTGCTTATTTACTCACTCACGTACTCATTGATTGATTGATTGATTGATTGATTTCTGAACTTCAAATAGCCTTTGGCTTTGCTATGAGTAGGCTGGTTTCTGAACTCTTTCAGTCTGCCCTCTCTTAGAGGAGAGCAGTTCTCTGACTTTGATTCAGAAGTCAGATGCCTGAAGGAAGAGCTTCAGAAAATACTCTACCTTTCCTACCTATGAAAAGTCAACATTTAATTAACTCAGTGTCAAGTAGGAAACCTACATAACAGAAGCTCTGGGTGTATGTGTACATTGAATTTTTTAACTTGAACTTTTTATTTTGAGATGATTATAAATCCACATAAAGTTATAAGAAATAATACAAAGAAATCCCATGTACCCATTACCCAGTTTTTCCCAATGGTAACATATTGCAAAGCTATAGTATGATATCACAACCAAGATATTGACATTGATATGATCCACCAATTTTATTCAGATTTCCCAGTTTTACTTATACTCATTTGTATGTGTATATTTAGTTCTAGGAAATTTTATCACCTGGGTTGGTTTGTGTAACCATCACCACAGTCAAGATACAGAACAATTCCACATGTACCCATCAGGTTAATCTTTCATAACCAAACCTCCCTTCCTCCCATTCTTACTGTTCCTAACTCCTAGCAACTACTAATCTGTTCTCCATCTCTATAAGTTTGTCATTTCAAGAATGTCACATAAATGGAATCATACAGTATATATCCTTTTAAGACTGGCCTTTTTTTAACCTGGCATAATTTTCTATAGATTCATTCATTCCTTCATTGTTGCATGTATCAATATTCTGTTTCTTTTTTATTGCTGGGGTAGCATTCCATGGAATGGATGCACCACAGTTTGTTTAACCTTTCACCTGTTGAAGGACATCTAGTTGTTTTTAGTTTTTTACAATTCAAATAAAGCTGACACAAATATTAGTGTACAAATTTTATATAGACATAATTTTTCATTTCTCTGGGACAAATACCCAAGAGTACAATTTCTGAGTTGTATGGTAGTTGGCTGTTTAGTCTTACAAGAAACTGCCAAACTGTTTCCAAGAGTGACTGCACCATTTAACATCTCCACCAGCAGTATTTGAGTGAATCACTTTGTCCACATTGAATTTTCATGATGGGAATTACCAGTATTGCTTTTAATAATTGATGGCTGGAAGTCCAACATAAATCCCACCTTGGTCATTTAGGAAAGCTTTGAGACATCAAAGAGATATAGGGAAAAGTAACTTCTAGAGCTACTTTTAGTGGCATCTTCATTCCTGCTCATGTCCTGAACTATGTGTGTATGCTCAGTGACAGGCACTCAATATCTATTGACTGACCAAATTTGTGTTATATGTCTTCTTTCAAATTCCTTTTACTTTAGTATTAAAAGTTATATGCAACTGCTTTCAAAGAGTTCTCCAGTCTCTCTTTTCTCATACCTAAGACATCTCTTAAACTAGTAAGAGCCAACGTAGTTGAAATGGGGATGAATTGTCAAATTTAACCCACCAAGTAAATATTGAACATTCACATGAGGACTGCAAAATACTAAGCCAAGCATTCTCACTCTTTCTTTTCAACTGTTTCCCCTTGGCCAGGTGGAGTTTGCTCCTGATATTGGCCTTCAATACAAAGGAGAGCTGACAGTTGTTTTGCGTTACATTCCCCCAGAGGAGAATCTGATGTTTCCACTAGAACAACTTCAAGGTAGTGTAAAAATCACTGACTTTGATCAATGACTTTCTGTTTCTAGAAGTATGGGAATGGGGATCAGGGATTATTTGAACTATGTTACTTTCACATTATACAAATGAAACATAAAGGTTTAAGAGTCACTCTCTTTTGTGGAGAGTTGAAAAGTATAGGGAAGGATACAAGATTCTTTCAAGGAAAGGGCAAAGTTCATACTTAGAAACCAGCCTTGGTGGTCAGATTTTTTTCATGTTAGTCCCAGAGGTATAGGATCTTCTCTTGGGCGGGGGAACAGTCTGCTGGGAGCAGGGTATAGGAAGCTGCTGTATGGATTTATGACATTCACAGCTATTCAGGAAGGCTTGAGGAAGAAGCTGACCTAGAACATAGAATGCAAAGGAAAAATTCAGATGGAGTAAACATATAACTCCCTTTTGCCCTGCTTTTTCCATCAGTTCCTACAGGCAGCCTCCTCTGTCCTCCCATTGATTGTCACCCTCTTCAGTTTGATCCTATGCAAGTAACTTACTATCTATCTCCTGGCCTCAGTTTCCTCACCTCAAAGGGCTGCTGTGAGGATTAAATAGAGTCATACATGTGAAGTACTTAAAACAGCACTAAATAAAGGTGGTGGTCATGGTGATGGTTGATATTATTCATATGGAGCATATTTCATCAGAATAAAAATGTGAGGTGGGAAAGAGTTTTCTCTCACCCTAAAATGTCACTGTGCCTGGGATGTAGCCTCTAGAGCTGGCCCTAATTGAAACTGACAATTTACCAGACTAAAATATCAAAGAAGAGAGTTAAGGAATTTTCTCTTTTGGAGTCTTGCCACTTGTGTGTGGCTTTCATCATAGCTATATCTCACCAAGAGCAGGAATGGTGCCCTAGGAAACTCTTAGGCTCCTTTGCATTTTGTACCTTTATACCCTGTGAAAAGATATGCCTTGTAGGGGAGTGTTTAAATTTTTAGATTTTTTTTTGTTCAGTTTTTTTTCAACAAACACAAATGAAAGATCTATCTAAAGGAATCTCATAGGGTAAAAAAACATTTAAATGAATACAAAATATTTACAATAATGTAAAGGCCTGATTTGGTCAGCAAATGAAGTGAATCTTTGGAGATGATTTTTGTAAATTATGAAATGGAACCCATGATATTTCTCTCTCTCTCTCTCTCTCTCTCATATCTCACTATCTTTATTTAATATTTTTGGTGGCTGATGCAGGAAAGAAGACCTTTAAGAAGGGAAAGAAGAAGGAGTTGCCTGTAATCTCTGGAGGAATACTAGAAGTGTTCATCAAAGAAGCAAAGAATTTGACAGCAGTGAAGTCAGGAGGCACTTCTGATAGCTTTGTGAAGGGGTGATTTTCTTTTAGTTCATTTCAGATGATACTTAATGGGAGATAAAAAAAAAAAATATCTGTGATTGTGATCCACAAGCCAATGATGGCTGTGAGTCTTCTATGTTCTGCTTACTGGAAATGTATTGGGAGAGAAATACACTCAAATGCTGGCTTTTATTCTAAAACAATACAAGTGTGAAGGGAACTGCCTATTCTGTCACTCTATTTCCAACATATTTCAGGAATTCGCATCACTCTTACCCTCAAGACTGGCAATTTTCCTGTGAGATTCATTTCTCAAAGCAAGGGGTGGGGCAAGTATGCTTTTCTACGTGTCATTTTCCTACATGTTGTGTGTTGTTATCATTTGTTACTGACAATATGCAACAACAACCAAAATATTGGATCCTTGATGTTTTGCTCTCTTGGGAGAAATTGTAAAAAATGGAGATGTCAGAGCATTCTCCCTGGACTTATCCACTGGGGAGTGCTTTGCAGAGGCTCTGGGACTGCCTGCTGAGCATTTGTGTCCACTTTCTATAGCATGGGGCAGTTTCCTGAGGAAATACAGCCCTTTAAATGGATATTCTTGCCCAATTATAGGTAATCCAAACAGCGAACCCCCTTTTTTTTTTTTTTGAGACAGAGTCTCACTTTGTTAGCCAGGCTAGAATGAGTGCCGTGGCATCAGCCTAGCTCACAGCAGCCTCAATCTCCTGGGTTCAAGCAATCCTACTGCCTCAGTCTCCCAAGTAACTGGGACTATAGGCATGCGCCACCATGCCCGGCTAATTTTTGTATACATATTTTTAGTTGGTCAATTAATTTATTTCTATTTTTAGTAGAGATGGGGTCTTGCTCAGGCTGGTTTCGAACTCCTGACCTCAAGCAATCCGCCCGCCTCAGGATCCCAGAGTGCTAGGATTACAGGCATGAGCCACCACACCTGGCTAGCAAATACCTCTTGATCTCTGACCACTGGAGATTTTTCTCTTGGGATTAGAGGAACTAGGACTAGAAGGATATTTTTCATTCATTTAAACAAACCCACACATGCATATGTAGCAAGCACCAGGTGCTGTGATTTAAAAAATAAATAAGATATAATCCCTGCCCTCGTGGAACACCATAAAGCACATGAGGCAAAACCAATTCCCATTATGCTAGACCATGAGGTTCATTCTTTGAGTCAAAGGATAATATTGTTCCTCTCCTCAAAGCCATCTAGAAAAGTGTATTTTTCTGACAAGCAAATGAGTCAAGCATTAACCCTCACCTGTTCTAACTTTGGTAAAGCCAGTAGTGAGGAGAGGCAGATGTCTGAGAGACTTCCCCACTGGTGAGTGTGGTGCCTGCATCCCAGCCCATCTGGCCTTCACTCTTTCTTGCAGTAGACACAAGCATAGAAAAATGCTCTGTTTGGATCCTGCCATTGCAATTTGCTTCAGCAGTCCCCCTATCCAGTTCAGGCCTCTGATGTTCACTGTCTGGTGGGATGAGGGGATGACTCCTGGCCTGTGGCCTCACTGTGGCCGTTCAGGAGTACTTAACGTCTTCTGAAACAGTTTTCACTTTATCATGTTAGAAATCTATGAAGTAGAAAAAAAATAAAGGACAATATCTTTGTTCTAGAAAGAAAACAAAAGGAAGTAAGTTTCTAGTTCTCTCTTTAGTTATACTTAAACACTAAGGTGACTTTATTTTATTTCAGGATATTTTGAGGGTACAAATATTTTGGTTACATTTTATGTCTTTGCCTCACCCAAGTGAGGATTAGAGGCATGCCCTTCCCTTCTACAATGCTCACTGATTTTAAAAGGACCTAAGAAATTTTAAAAAGGAAGAAAAAGTAAGAACAAGAATAGACCCTTCTATAAAGTTTAATATTACAAAATATATCAGTTAATATTACATCTGTCTGTGAGCCAAAATAACAGTGGTTTAAACAAGACAAAAGTTTTTTTCTCGTACGTGTAGACAAAGACTGAAAGTAAGTATCCAGGGCAGGTATGGAAGCATCATGACACCATGATTATCAGGTACCCAGTTTTTTGCTATCTCCTTATCATATCCACCTCATGGGCCAGGATAGCTGCTCAAGTGTCAGCTATCTCATCCAAGTTCTAGCTGGCAGGACACTTCCCAGAAGTTTTATATAGACCTACTTCTTATACTCCGTTGGCCAGAACACAGTCATATGGCTATACTAGCTGAAAAGGAGGCTGGAGGATATAGTCTTTATTCTGGGCAACCTTGTGCCCAAATAAAAACATAGGGATATTTTTTAGAGAAAAATAAGTGGAAAATGGATATTAGGAGATAAGTGGTCTCTGATTGCCGCATGAAATGAAATTTTAAGTCACCTAATGTATCTTTATTGTAAAATCATTTGCTTGTGGTATCTTTCATTTTTGTTTCATGTACTTATTCCATACATGCATCTAGCTTATTCCATAAAATATGCTCTCTAAAGGAGGGAAAAGGTTATATTTGTCACATAACCTAGAGATGAGGATGGTATTTCAACAATAATAGAGAAGGCCTGAGGTACAGGTATTTTATTTGGGAAAAAATAATTCAAGAGACACCAGTGAGAAAGTGGAGAAAATGAGACAAGGAAGGAAGGAAAACTGATAAAAAAGATATGTTAATGAGCAAGTTACCACTGTGGGCAACTGGGGCTTAATTCCACTGGGGAAGCATTGAGGAACTCTGTGGAATATACCTTAGGATTGTCCCTTTGAAGGTCAGGGAAGCTAGGGGATTCATCCATCAATTTCCAAAACTCATTGGTTGTGGGTTGCTGCTAGGGGCATTAAATCTCTGAGTTCCCCTCATATGAGCTGAGCCAGCTCATGCAACATCGGAGAAAATCCTTAATTAGAAAAGTCAAAAGACAAAGGTCCTTGCAATGGGCAGCTGAAAGCATGCAGGAACTGCCCATCTTGGCTACAAATAAACTCACAGGAGGGCCAAGAAGATATGAAGCAGAGCATTCACTAGTGTCTACCACAGGAGATATTTTCTTTTCAAGATGGGGAGAAGGATCAAAGTAGGATTAGAAAAAAGAGCATTTTACTTTTGTCCCTCGTGAAAGAGATAATAAGCCATTCCTCTAAATAAATCCAGATTTGAGTGTATATGAACCTAGGAGAGAAAATCAAATACATATATCACATTTGCACACACACACAAGGAATTATGGGAAATTCAAATGATTACTCAAGGATGACATGTCCTGCCTACTATCTCACTGGTGGCTTGATTGTGTTTTCTCTTGCAGCTACCTGCTCCCCGATGATAACAAAGCCACCAAGCACAAAACTCTGGTAATAAAAAGGAGTGTTAACCCTCAGTGGAATCATACTTTCATATTCAGTGGCCTGCATCCCCAGGACTTAAAGAATGTCTGCCTAGAACTTACCATCTGGGACAAGGAGGCCTTTTCCAGCAACATCTTTCTGGGAGGAGTTCGTTTGAATTCCGGAAGCGGTGAGGGATTTGGAGACCCTGTGATGGTCTGTGACTGGGCATGGAGTAGGGGCATGATTCCTGCAAGTGTGATGTGCAATAGATGTATATGTAGTTTCAACTGTAGCTGAATCCCAAAACTACCACTGACACTCCATCTCTTTAGCTGAGGAGCCGTTCATTGCTAAAATACAAACATTACTACTGTGACTTTTTATCTGTAGTCTAGAAGTTTGGGAGGTATAATGTTTATATTTAGTCTTTTCATAGACTAACATTTACACTTTAGGCTAAATGAATTCCAAATACTTTCTTGGGCCTTGCTTCCGGTTTTGCTTGGGAGAGGATCACCAAGACAGAACAGTCTTCTGACAGGGGAGACAACTTGCAAGACCAACTTTATTTCATCATCTCATTTCTGTTCAAGACTTGCAGCTATTATTCACACTGGTTGAATTGAAATGAAATCCATTTTTTTCCTTAAAAAAGTAACATCTAATGTTGTTAAGACAGGTCAAGGAAACCCACCACTGGTGCTCTAAGACATAGCTATAACAGGGTGAATTGGGAGGGGGGATTACAGTAGTAGGTCACATGCAGTCCCCCAAACTCTCCTTACCCCATGGCTTAGGCCAGACATAGATGGTCTGCATGTCCCCTGGTTACCATTTCACAGCCATTTCTGCTGTGAAATATTCCACCCCTATGATGCTTTACTTATTTATAGATTAAGAGGAGCCAGAGGTATCTATGCCCCTAAAATGAAATACCCTCCAGATCAGAAATGTGGCCTTGTTAGAAAAAGAGAGCCTCAGTTCAGTTCAGCCTGTTCTTCTGTCATGTTAACTCAGTCCACATGAGCCAGCTCTCAGCTAAATTACCAAAGTGGGGAGGAAATGAGTCACCAGGGTCATCCTTATTAGTATCAAGTCGTCTAGACGAAAGAGAGTAGTGCAGGCTGCAAAGGATTCATTCCATTCTAACACCAGATATGCTAAGTGAGAACAAGCCAGTGAAAGGCTTTCTGGTTAGAAGGCTCCCTCGGTGGTTGATAGATGCCTTTTAGGAGATCAGAACATTTCACCTGTGAGGTGTAATGCTTCTCTTTCCCTTCTTTAGGTGTGAGCCATGGGAAGAACGTGGATTGGATGGACTCCCAGGGGGAAGAACAACGCCTTTGGCAAAAGATGGCCAACAACCCTGGGACTCCCGCTGAGGGTGTACTCATGCTCCGTTCCAGCATGGGGAAGCGTAGGCTCTGAAGGGACCGGTTTTCCAACAATGAGGCCTCTGGGGACTATCTGGCTGCCATTTCCTACCACTAGCAAGCTGGGACCTAGGACTCTGCTTCCCTGCCATTTCTCACCTGATAGTATTGGGACATGAGAGCTGTCAGTATGAACATTTAGGGTCTTGCTGAGTGCCTAAATATACATGTACCTCTATATGTCCACGAAGACCTTCTTGAATCGATGACAGAAAGTGTACTACACTGTCCTATTAACAAGCAAATTGTGCAATGGCTTGTAGGGTTTATACCATAAGAGAAATGGCACAAGCTTATTTGAAACTACAATTTAGATCTGGGGTCTCCAACCTTTTTCTAATTATGAGTTACTTTACCTTCCTCAAACACTTTGAGGAGAAAGGAGACCACTGAAAAGATAGATTACTTGAAGAGTAAGAGGAAGGATACTACTGGCCACACTTTTTCTCCCTAGGAATGCCTGTGATCCAAGGAAGGCATGGTGGGGATGGTGGCTGGGTTGAGGGGGTAGTCCTGTTATTGTAGCAAAATTGTAGATTAACCAGGTAATATCTCAGGATGGATTGACAGGGCTTCCTGTGGTGACTGTAGAATTTATCATCTAAATCAGCCTACTTTTGAGAGTGAAAAGAGCTAAATAATTACACCAAAATGACAGGTATAAACTAAGACTGACCTGGGAAAATTGGGATGTAGGGTCACCTACGGATGACCCTTAGCTATTAGAGAGCTCTGTCGTAAACATTTATTTTATAAAAATGTTCTAAGCCATTAAGCAAAAGGGAGTAAGAAATAATGGTCAACTGATACAACTTTTCACATTTTGTTCACTGATGAGACTAGTTTAATGAAAGAGAAATAGTCTTGCTGTGTCACTTCTGTTTGTCCTCTGCCATTTTAAGGGAAAGAGTCATGGATTCTATTTGCTTTCTCTCCCTTATTTTCTCCTTACCTGAGTTTTTGTTATCTCCTTTTGTAGTGGTTATCTATTTCAACAATACTGCTGAATGACAAACCACCCCAAATATGAGTGGCTTAAAATGACAATCCTTTCTTCTCATGGTTACAGAGGTTAGCTAGGGCATTTCTGCTTCCTGCTACAGGCATGGAGGTCTAGGCTGGCTGCTCACATCTTATCCTCCTTAGGCCAAAGGAATAGCCAGAACATGATGATGGCAGATGTGCAATAAGATGAGTCCCACTGCTAGAGTACATTTTGAGCACCTAGTTGTGTCATGTCTACCGATACCTATTGGTCAAAGGAAGTCAGATGACCAGGCTCAAAATCAAGAGGCATAGAAATATGCTTTGCTCATAATGAAGCCACAAATGAGTAGTAAGCACATAGGAAGGGGTGCAGAATTGGGGCCAGTAGTTCAATCTATCATACCTTCTGTCACCTGGAATTCCAGATGTTTGAGCCACCAAACTTAGATGCAAAGATAGTTAAAGCTAGAAGGGACCTCAGACCTGGTTCCTCATTTTGCACATTCCAAACCTGAACCCCAGAAAGCTGAGATAACTTGCCCAAGGTCATAGAGAGGCTATTACTGTATCCAGACTTAAATCGGGGTGTGACTCATAGGCCAGTGTTCTTTTCACTGCAGTCCTTGGCATGATCCTATGCTTTTCAAGAAAGATAGGAGGGCATATGTCAAGAAAGGTGGAACAGAGTCTGATTGCTTGAGCATGAACATATCTGGCTCAGGTATGTTCTGGAGTCACATTCTAACCTGTCAGCTCATTTTTTTTCATTTGAATTCATATAAAATCTTTAAAAGTGTAGAAACTGAATTTTAGTATTAGGAGAGCTCCAATGAACTTCAGGCTTATTCTAGCTAGTTGTTCCATATTTCTAGACATCTAATTTTGAAAACTGGTTTAAGAATATATTTGTGTTATTATTAGTAAGGGAATAAATAATCCATCTTCAATATTATTTAGTAATAGGCCATCTAATTCTAGAAAATTAAAGTTTTTAGTTTACTGTAGCTTAATAAGTATGGTACTTTGTTTTATAATTCACATTCATATCCCTATGCTGCCCTTCTTAAAAACAGAAAACAAAAAGTATTAGATCATCACTACTTCCCACACAGGAAAAATAAATTGCCTTCAGACTTGATGTGATTTGTTCTGTCTTCAGTGACATTTTTAGGGGAGGTGAGAGGGTGATGATGGTGAAGTCTGGAGACATCTCAGAAGTAGATACAACAAAGTGAATTTATTCACTAATAATAAATGTAGCAAAATAATAAATTTCAAAATGTATAACTTGAAATCAAGAAGAGTATAAACTTTGTGTTCAGATCTTTGTATCATGGTTTAGAACAATTCTTGTATCATGGTTTCATAATATCTAACTAGGTATTTCCATAACACAAAACCCAAGTATGCAAAAGTCTATCAGAAAACTGTTGGTGTTGCTCTTGGAAATAAAAGGCAAATTGATCTTTAGGTCACTCTGTTTTACAAAGTATGGTATAGAGTTACAAATAATATTTTTAAATATATATAATATATGTGAATAGCACAGAATTCAAATAGTTCAAAATTGTGAAAAGTAAATCTTCTCTCCCCTTCCATATTACAGTATATTGAAAGTCTCATTCTTTTTTATGCCTACAGGGTATTACATTATAGGGATATATCAAATTTATTTATTAGGTCCTATCAACTACACATTAAATATGGTTAACTAAACTATCTTTATTCAGTGGCTTTTCTAAGCAATCTTTTCTTTCAAAACTAAATACTTTGAAATTTAAAATTAAGTATACATTTTACCCAGCCATTCTACTTCTGGGTATTTATCTTACAGAGATAGAATGTATATATGAGAAATGAGTATATACAAGGGAATTTATTGCAAGATATTGGAAACAACTTAAAAGCTCACCAATAATGCTCCTGATTTTTGTTTGTTTGTTTTGTAGATGCTCCTTCTCCTTCTCTGTATTTACTCATTCTCTACACAACTGGTTAAAGTTGGATTCTTTAGTGCCCAGCCTTTCTTTTCTCTTCATGTTGTACAGCCTTTCAGGCATTATCATGAACCATACTCTCATGGTTTTATTACACTTTGAACTTCAAACTCACATCTCCAACCCAGATCTTCTTGTCGGCCTCAAAACCAGATCCAACTGTCCATATGACATCTCCACCAGGATAGTTTATGATTTGAACATATTTAAAAATGAGCTCTTCATCCCACCCTCTCCCTCACACACATGTCTTGTTGCTCTAGTGTGTCCTGTCTCTATACCTGGTACCATCATCCACCCCGTTACAATAACCAGATACTTGGTAGTGATCTTTGATTTCTGCCTCTCCCTTATCCTGAGGCAAAATTGATCAGAAGATCTATTGATTCTCCCTTCTAAATATCTCTAGGGCCTGTCCAGTTCTGTCTCCATGGCACCACTCTAGTCCAAGCCACCCATCACCCCTCCCCATGATTATTGCAACAGTTTCCCATCTGCTGTCTATGGAGCCAAATTGGTCCTTCCTCAATCCATTCTCCTTACTACAGCAAGAATGATTTGTCCCAACATGTTATTAAAGAAATGTTCAACCATACAGAAAAGTTGAAAGAATTTTCTAGTGAATTTTCCAGTGAATCTAGTAATTTTCTAGTTATACCCACCACTTAAATTCAGCTCTACCTTTGGCATTTGACTATACTTGCTTATCATTATTGATCTATCTGTCCATCCCCAGACTTTAAAATCTTCTGTGGCTTCCTATTCTCATGACAATATAATGTAAATTATTGCTCTTGGCCCTGCATAAGATGGCCACTGCCTCCTCTCCAGCTTGTCCCAGGCCGTGCGTCCCCTCCCCTTCTCTTCAGATGTAAAGGGCATTTTTCTGCTTCTCAATTGTGCCAGGCTTGATCCCACCCCATAGCCTTTGCCAGGAATCCTCTTGGTCTTTCTCCTCATCAGTCTGAGTCCCATGAACTAATCAGGTCTTAAATGTTACCTCCTCAGGCAAACCTCCCCTGATCACCCTGCCGAACTAGGTCATAACAGCCTGCCTCTATTTCCCCTTCACTGCACACATCATATTTATAATAAATTATTCATGTAATTAATCCATTAATGTTTGTGTCTGTTCCCTCCCTGCCATGTCCCTAGAATGTAAAATTCAGAAGGGCAGAGACAACATTTATAATTTTTCACAGCTATATCCTCAGAGCTGAGCTCAGAGTACGTAATCAAAAAATATTTGTAAAATAAGTGAAAACAAAAGGAAATAACATCATAGAACGTCAGAGCAGCAAGGCATCTTTAGAAACCATGATTTTTCCAATTAACAGATTAACTCTCAATGAACATATAAGACAACTGGGGCCCTCAAAGATCAAGAAAAAACTCTGAATTTGTTTACTCATTGGTCTTTTAAAAGTAAGTTTGCTATAGTCACCATGTTGCACAGCATGGTGACTATAGTTAATAATAATGTGTTGTATATTTCAAAACAGCTAAAAGAGAGGATTTTAAATGTTCTCACCATAAATAAATGATAAATATTTGAGGCAATGGATATGTTAATTAGCCTGATTTGATCATTCCACAATGTACACATGTATCAAAACACCGTATTGTACCCCATATTATATACAATTATTATTTGTCAATTAAAAAGTAAATGAAATTTTTAAAAAAACAACCTTTCTACAAACACTGTAGTTACCTCAGCTTACCTCAGCATAGATCAAAGCACAAAGTCTGCTTTCTCCAGCCCAGCATGTCAGTTTCTCTGACGAAGCAACCACGGCCTTGCCTGTAACATCGTACTTTTGGTTTAGAGATCTAAACTCTCATTTTCTCACTTGGTTGAATCAAATTTGTTATAAAGGGACAGGGGCAAGCTCAAAAGCCTGACTTTATCCATGTAGTATGTAAATTGCAGGCCATGGAAGATTCAGGTAATCAGCTCTCATTTCACTTATGTTGTTACTGTCACAGGATTCATTAATATCTACATTTTCCAGGTCACAAAACACCAAAAACAAAGTTATTTTCATGAAACTTCATATTCTTGGCCTCCTCTCCCTTAAGAAACATACACAAATGGACGACTAATTATCATTAAGTACATAAGTAACTAATGAATGATTATGCCCACCTGATTCACAGTCCTATTAGCCCCATCATCACTTGATACTTCAAGGTTTCCATTTGGTGGGAGAGGAGAAAGTCATGGAAAAAATAAGGGTAAATACCACTTTTAGAAACAAAGTGGATCAAAATATCAAGTCCCACAAGCACGTAAAAGGAGAACCTGTAGCATTTGGGGCTGTGATCAATATTTTTTTCCCTCATGTAGATACTAATATTAAACAGAACATTGCCTTTAGAAGTTGGCAGAAGGGTTTTCCTCCTACAATCCTGTCGTTTATGGTCTCTGAAATTAAAGAAAAGAAACAGTAAGGGGAAGTTTATACAGACAAAAGAATAATAAAAATAGAATCTGACAAGATTTAAACAATAACCAGGAAAGTAGCACTATATCAAGGATTCTAAAGGATTATCTGAATCATCTGGTATATAAATTTAACACAGTGATTTCAGAGCATTGTTCCAAGCCTACTAAACAAAATCTCCAGGAATCTCCATCATTTTTATCAAGCTTCTTGAGTGATTCTAGTACAAGTGTATCACAGTTTGAGAAACACTGCATTAGAGGAAAAATTATCTCAAATGTATTATTTAGACCAACTTTATGTCATGACAGTTGCTTGGATTCGGCTTTGGAATAGTCTCTCTTTTGGATAACTCAGAGATTATTAATTGCAGAGTAACCATGGTGAGGTGGAAAGAGGCTAACCTTTGACTCAGAGGATATTAGATCAAGTCTTGATTTAACTACCTACAAAACCTGTGACCTCAGTCAATTATCCAATCTAGTCTTTGGCCTATTTGCCTATGAAATAGGAATAATTGGGTTACCTGGGAGTAACTGAAGATCTTAAATGAGGCAATATATGTAAATATGCTTTGTAAATTCTAACCCACTGTAAAAAAATATTATTAGTGAGCTAGTTATAGTACTCTGTGGCTCATAGTCTCTTTTATGACCTTCTTTTCCCGGATGCTGGGTTAGGTCTTAAGCATTTTAGGTACAATGAAGTGGTCTCCAGAGCATAGAAAACATTACCAAAAAAATGATAATATAGATATTTCTGGGTAAAAATTAAAAGAAATACATTTTGTGCTAGATTACTCATTTTGAATGATAGTAATTTATTTTTAGGCTAGAATTTCATATTTCATCTGATTAGATAAGAAATATTATATTATATTAAACATTTGTTTAATTTAATGGAGAGTAAAGCTATGGGCAGTTTTTTGTCCACAGGTTATGGAAAGTGCAAGCAAACCATCTTTCCTCAACACTGTCTTCTAGTGTCATGACCATCTCTTTCTATGGCCCATTCCCTATCCCTTATGTCAGGGAGATGAAACCTGCCTTCCTCACAGGAATGTTGTTCAGAAATCTGCTTTGTATCTACAGAAGGAAATTTATCATTCTGTCAAAACAAGTTAGATAAAAACACAAATTCCTGTTGTCACTCTGAGTAATGCATAATATTTCAAAGATTATCAATTTCACCTCATTTACCTCACTGGAATTTATCAAACTATTCTGGCAGAGGGGTCCTTTCATACTTGGAAAAGGAAAGCAGAACATATAGTTAGTATCACCTATAACTGTCAAAACACTCATATAAGATAGGAGATCATACTTTTCTCTCCAGTATTTAAGCACAATACTTGTCTCTGCTTTCCTTTTTCTCTGAATGAGGCAAAAATTAACACAGCACTGAAATTAAATATTTTATTATAATAATTAAAGCAAAAGTTTAAATCATTGGAATTTACTTAGGACAAGATGCCTCCTTATAGGAGGGCAGAGAACTAAATATGTGTTTAAATCTGTATTTTTTATTTTTACCTCTTTATTGTTAGATACACTTACTTTTGGGAAAGAATCTGATTGCTCTTTTCAAGCATTTTTTTTTCCTACTTAGCCAATGATTCGTTTTGGGCCAGGCGCGGTGGCTCACTCCTGTAATCCTAGCATTCTGGGAGGCTGAGGCAGGTGGATCGCTCAAGGTCAGGAGTTGAAAACCAGCCTGAGCAAGAGCGAGACCCCATCTCTACTATAAATAGAAAGAAATTAATTGGCCAACTAATATATATAGAAAAAATTAGCCGGACATGGTGGCACATGTCTGTAGTCCCAGCCATTCGGGGGACGGGGGGTGCTGAGGCAGTAGGATCGCTTGAGCCCAGGAGTTTGAGGTTGCTGTGAGCTAGGCTGACGCCATGGCACTCACTCTAGCCTGGGCAACAAAATGAGACCCTGTCTCAAAAAAAAAAAAAAAATGATTGTTTTTGTCTTTAGAAAGTTGAACCTTGTTTGTGTCAATCAACAGGAATTGATGGGTCCCAACAATAAAATTTATTTTTAAACCTTTCTCATTTGGAAAGAAGGAAAGGAGCCATCACAGAGCAGTCATGCCGATCATTTATGGTTGAACCATAGTTGGAATGACTGGGGATTGGGAATATAATTTTGTTTCTATCCCTTCCGGTATTCATTATTCATAAGTGGATGTTTTTGAAGACAGATCATTGGCTTTCAGTTGATGTGATGAAAGAGATACCTGTACTTT